AAGCTTTGCAAATAGCTGAGAAGAAGGAAGTGAAAGGCAAAGGAGAAGAGGAAGATCCACCCATTGAATGCAGAATTTCCAGAGAGTAGCTAGAAGAGATAAGAATGCCTTCTTAAATGAACAGTGCAAAGAAATAGAAGAAAACAACAGAATAGGGAGGACCAGAGATCTCTTCAAGAAAATTGGAGATATGAAGGGAACGTTTCATGCAAAGATGGGCATGATAAAGGACCAAAATGGCAGGGACCTAACAGAGGCAGAAGAGATTAAGAAGAGATGGCAAAACTACACAGAAGAACTATACAAGAATGAGCTTAACGTCCCAGATAATCACAATGAGATGGTCACTGACCTCGAACCAGACATCCTAGAATGTGAAGTGAAATGGGCCTTAGAAAATCTGAGCAACAACAAAGCTAGTGGAGGTGACAGTATTCCAGCTGAGCTATTCAAAATCTTAAAAGACGATGCAGTAAAAGTGCTACACTCAATTTGCCAGCAAATTTGGAAAACTCAACAGTGGCCACAGGATTGGAAAAGGTCAGTTTACATTCCAATTCCAAAGAAAGGCAATGCCAAAGAATGTTCAAACTATCGCACCATTGCACTCATTTCACATGCTAGTAAAATTATGCTTAAAATCCTACAAGCTAGACTCCAGCAGTATGTGGATCGAGAACTACCAGAAGTGCAGGCAGGATTTCGAAGAGGCAGAGGAACTAGAGATCAAATTGCCAACATACGCTGGATCATGGAGAAAGCTAGGGAGTTTCAGAAAAATATCTACTTCTGCTTCATTGACTATGCAAAAGCCTTTGATTGTGTGGATCACAACAAATTATGGCAAGTTCTTAAAGAGATGGGAGTACCAGACCATCTCATTTGTCTCTTGAGAAACCTATATGTGGGTCAAGAAGCAACAGTGAGAACTGGACACGGAACCACTGATTGGTTCAAAATTGGAAAAGGAGTCCGGCAAAGCTGTATACTGTCGCCCTGCCTATTTAACTTACCGTAAATGCCGGCGTATAAGGCGACTTCCGCGAGCACTGAAATCGGTGCCAAAGACGGGGGTCGTCTTATACGCCGAGTCGTCTTATACGCCGGAAATACTGGTAGTTTCCAGCATATAAGATGACGTTCTAGGAATGCGGCCCGGCTATAAAGATGGGGGTCGTCTTATACGCCGGGTCACCTTGTACGCCGGCATTTACGGTATATGCAGAGCACATCATGAGAAAGGCAGGGCTAGATGAATCAAAAGTTGGAATTAAGATTGCCGGAAGAAACATCAACAACCTAAGATATGCAGATGATACCACTCTAATGGCAGAAAGTGAAGAGGAACTAAAGAGCCTCTTGATGCGGGTGAAGAAGGAGTGTGCAAAAGTTGGCTTGAAACTCAACATTAAGAAAACCAAAATCATGGCATCCGGCCCTCTCAATTCTTGGCAAATAGATGGGGAAGAAATGGAGGTAGTGACAGATTTTATTTTTCTGGGCTCCAAGATCACCTCAGATGGGGACTGCAGCCAAGAAATTAAAAGACGCTTGCTCCTGGGGAGGAAAGCTATGGCAAATCTAGACAGCATACTAAAAAGCAGAGACATCACCCTGCCAACAAAAGTGCGTATAGTCCAGGCCATGGTTTTCCCAGTTGCAATGTATGGCTGTGAAAGTTGGACCATAAGAAAGGCTGAGCGCCAAAGAATTGAGGCCTTTGAACTATGGTGCTGGAGAAGACTCCTGCGAGTCCCTTGGACTGCAAGGCGTTCAAACCGGTCAGTCCTAGAAGAGATTAACCCCGACTGCTCTTTAGAAGGCCAGATCCTGAAGTTGAAACTCAAATACTTTGGCCACCTAATGAGAAGGAAGGACTCACTGGAGAAGGCCTAATGCTGGGAAAGATTGAGGGCAATAGAAGAAGGGGACGACAGAGAATGAGATGGCTGGATGGAGTCACTGAAGCAGTAGGTGTGAACTTAAATGGACTCCAGAAGATGGTAGAGGACAGGAAGACCTGGAGGAACGTTGTCCATGGGGTCGCGATGGGTCGGACACAACTTCGCAATTAACAACAACAACAACAGTCATTCCCACCATAAATTTCAGATAACTCAAGTTAGGGAAGGCACACATTTTAAACATACCATGTGGTTGGAGAGAGAGGGGGGGAGAGAGAGAATCACTATTTATTTTCCCTTTTAAGTACCTTTATTTTGCCAAATTGGTGCCCTAGCAAAGCCCATTTTCACAAATTTGTCTTGCTCGCTTTTTCTTTTTCTTACCATCCAGGACAGGCACTCAGCCTCTCATCCCACACCTCGATCAAATCTCCAATAAGTGTCCTAATTCCAACCCTCGAACTGCAGCTACTCATGTTTCTCTTCCGATGTGGGGTCCAAACTGGCTCAGTCGGATTTTTCTCCTTAGCAGCACTTCCCAGCCATTCTTAGCAACAACAAACCTGAGCACATGGGCAGTAGGTTTTTATACCCTCTCTAGCCTTTTGTCTGCAGTATTACATCTGCATTTGTATAGGGCTGGCTCTTGCTTGGAGACAGAGAGATTTGGGGGCTGGGTTGGTTTCTGCTTTTAAAAATCCTTTTGAGAAAAAATATATTTTTCTGCCCTTTTAATATTTCCTTCTCTGGAGGGGCTCTGACTTCCCACAATGTATACACAAATCAGAAGAACAGTAGTAACACAAGAAAACATGTATTTTTATAGTCTCTCTGCACACATCCCATGCCAAAGATAAGACATAAGCATTGATTTTCCTATTCCACAGAAAAGGGGGAAGCAAAAATGACAATGTTCTTCCTTTTGTATCAGAGAAAATCTGAGAAGGTGCTGCTATTAAAAATTAGATGGTAAAAGAAAAGTGCATAGAATAAGAGAAACACTTTCCCACAAACAGTCTGAAAGTTTATTTCTAGATAATTCACAAGGCTATTTTTCTGCCCCATGATTAATGGCATGGATTATAGAGTTGCCATTTCCAAAATTTCATGAAGGCAAGGCATAAGTAGCCTCCAATGGAAGATATTTATCAAAAGAAGGCTTTATAATTGATGCAATTTGTTTTTATATCACTTTTTTATTAAAGAAATGTTTGAAAGAATTAAAAGAATACACAGAATGTACAACATACAGCAAGCTTTTCTTGTTGCATTGCTAAAACAGCTACATTAAAAGCTATTCCCAATCATTTCCAAATAAACCTGGAAAAAAGTCCTGGCTACATTAATATATTAAATAATCTTGCCGAAATAATGTTCTTGGACTTCAGGCATTTTGTAGGGTCTTAAAGACATGGTTTTGACACTGAGCTGATCTGGATGGTAGCAATAGCTATTGGTTGTTCTGTTGTTCACAATATATTGTGACTTTTGGATTGGTAAGTATTGGGACTGTTTGAATCAAGTCCTACTATATATTGGGCATAAGAGATATTTTTCCTAATGTATTACAATTTTTAAAAGGTGGCAAGTTTATCACTTCAATACGTTTTTTTCCTATAAATGTCTCCCTTTTCCCCCAGTTGAAAAAGCAAAAGTATTCAGATAAAAGCCGTCTTCCCTGTTTTTGTTCTTTACTTCTTTAATAATACATTACAATGAAATTTAGTTCTTATTTTCACTTTCTAACATGTGACTTTAACAAGTTCTATAATGGTCAATGCCAAGAATTTTAAAGGAAACTTCTTGATTTTTATATCCAGTTTGAAAACCAACTTAACATAAAAACTAATTCATATGAAAAACTCAAATGTTTAGTACTGAAAACACGTAGCACCTATGAGAGCAATACATTGGACCATCTCACACCAATCTATTGTCTAGCATTGTGGGAAAGGGGTCCCTGGAAGTGATAATGAGAGAAATATATAAAGCATAAGTTATACTGCAACTTCAAAATATACTTCAATATCTTAGTAGCATTCTGTATCAAAGACAGCAATGCAACAAAATCCTTGTTAATTATAATTAACTACCAATTTCTGTATTGTTTGTTTTAAAAAATATTGTTCAGCAAAAATAATTCAGTGATCACTTAAAGAATATACATAATTTTTATCATCAGAGGGAACATCATCTGAAATACAGTAGTATCAATATCACTTAGGTTTATGTTAGGTATCAAAGAGTGACAAATGCAGAAAAAAATCTGGACTATGTACAATGGAAAGAAAATCATACTTTAATTAGGAAAAGATAACAGAATGACAAAATAAAGGCAGACATATCATCTAGCAAACATTAGAAATCTAAATGCATCATCTGGATGGTGGGATTAGGGCAATTTGTGACATATGACCACATTTAATCTTCAAATCCCCATTCCACAGCAGGATAACAGTGACCATAATTCTTGAACTCTTGAAAAGTTGTACACATTTTCTTGCTATTTTGAAATGGAAAAGTGGTAAATGTAGGCATGTCATAGGTTTTTTTTTCAAAAAAAAAAGACAACTCCCAAATTCTCAAAGAAGCAACCCTGTCCAAATATTAGATAGTTCAATCTATTATGCAGCCTTACTCTTCTGGATATATTATGGTGACCTTTGCCCTATGGTAATGGTAGTATAGAAACTTGTTCTGAAAAGACCAGTAAATGCATTTTTTTCAAAAAAAGATTAATTACATTCATTTGAAAAACTGGCTCACAGGAATGAGAAGACACTAAATGATAAAGAAAAGCATTATATGGAAATGTGTTCACACTCAATGTGAACAAGATAGCAAAACAACCTATATGACAGAAAAACAACATACTCTATCACAGCGGTTCTCAACCTATGGGTCACGACCCCATTTGGGGTCGATCGACCATTTTTCGGGGGTCGCCAAAGAAGGCAATCTGCCATTTTCTCCCCTCAGGGGGCAGCGCCGCACATGCACGCCGCACATGGGGTGGCGATGCGCATGCGCACCGCGCATGGCGGCGATGTGCACACATGCCACGCATGGGGGCGGCGACGCACATGCGTGCCGTGCATGGGGGCGATGCCCCCATGCGCGCGGCGCCACGCATGCGCAGAACGTTTGTGTGACGGGGGTCACCGTCACACAAACGTTGAGAACCACTGCTCTATCAGAAGGCATAAATAACTAATGGATAGTAAACTGAGTTTCATTCAGAAACAATAAAAAATGGCTGAAAATTGTCTTAAGGAAATATAGAAATATTTGGCATCAAAAGCTTTGCTTGAACATTGCCTTTGATAATATAGGCAAGTACTAACACGGATAATAACCACTAATTCCAAAGTCATATTATAAAATGGAAAGAATATCTATCATCTTCACCACATAAAATTGAGCATAATTTCATCCACCAAAATAATGATCCCTCCATTTTAATTATTTTTTCCAAACCTATCAACTATTATAGATTTTCAGTTGCTTTAGCTCAGGGGTTTCCAACTGGGGGTGTGAAGCAATATTCCAGGTGGTAGAAAAACTTGGGTTTTCAAAATTATAGCATGTATGCATAATTCATTGCCATTATTTCAAGCTTTTGTAAGGGGTGTGAGAATATATCAAAGTGTTCTATAGGAATGCGGGGTATAGAAAAGTTTGGGAGCCATTGCTTTAGCTCCTTCATTTTTGACATATGTTTCTGCTTTTTGGCAAAAATTATGGACCAGGTAAAGCTTGCCAAAATTGTGAAAACCTTTTCGGAAAAGTTTATAGTAGAAATGCCACCTTTGACAGGTATAGCAGGAAATGAGTTTCATGTCAAGATTGTCTCATTCAGTAAACAGGAATTATGTTCAAGTGGAGCACATACTAGACTCCCCCCCCCCCCCATTAGTCTTCCTCATTTAGTAGGCAATTAATGCAGATAGTTTTCACACAATGACATAACATGAAAAATCAGGATTCTCAATCAGGATCCACATGGAAAACAGCCATAGATAAGAAGCAACAGGTAGAAATCCCCTATATGTCATTGCCCCTTCAAATACTTGAAGATTGTGGCTGGATTTCATAACAATGAAAAGATGTCTTGTGAAACCTGTACCCAGGACCAAAAATGTCAACTGAGGTTAAGTCAAATCAGCATTGGAATTGGTAAATGTATTACCTACATTTCTATATCCATCCAAATGCTCAAAAGAGGATGTAGCAGGTTAGCATGTGCCAACTTCATAGGACCATACAGCCAAACATGAGCTTATAATTTTGTAAGAAGCAGCTATCCTATGGCTGGCTGTTTTTCACCAAATTTCAGCTGATAATAGAAAGCAAATAAGCAAAATGCAAATGCAGTTTGTCTCTACCTGTAGCAGATGGATGACAAATAAGCTGCATAGGCCATTGGGCTTAATGTCAAGAGAAGGGATAACTGAGTATTGGAGCACAGTCTGAAACTGGCAGTTCTCCCGCATAGCATTAATAGGGGGAGATGCTAAACAAGGCACTGTATTTCTACTGCAAGATCATAAAACAGATTCTCTCATTTCATATCGCATACATTAATCTGACACTCATGAATATAAACAAAAGTGTGAATCTATATACGTCTATTACAAGATCTCTTTTCCAAATATGCTGCTCCAAATAGAGTGCCTTCTTAGACATGAGCCTGCTAACATGATTCTTCAACTGTAGTGATAAATGTTTTCCGGCGCATGGACATCATCGTTGAGAACATTCTGAACCCCTCGAGCTGCTAAATTTGAAAATGCCACTTGACTGTAAAAATCAAAAGTACAAATCAGATTAGAATTTAACTGCCAGGATGAATTATATCATAGACCTGCCCAGATGCTATAGCAATTCCATCTGGACATGAGTGCACTATTACATTATGATTATTAGCCAATCATAGCCTTACTTTCCTCTTTGAAGACATTTAAATTGCAGACTATAATCATCTCCTGCAATTTTCTTTTTAACTATACATCCAGGAGAATTACACCTTTCACATCCTGAAATTCCCTTCACTCAGCTTACAGTACTTATATTGAATGCACATGTTCTGCTTCGCTATCAAACCTCCATGATTCAACTTAACAATATGGTTAATTTGGTTCCAGTGTTGCAAGAGGAAGAGATGCTATTTTGATCCACTTTCTGCATTAAGTGTTCTGTCCTAAACACCATACAATATAACGTGTCATCCATTTTCATCTTTTGAATTATTAATAAATTCACTTCCCCATGCATCTTAATGATGCTATAACAGCAATCTCCCAACTATCACTTATTGTGGAAAAATATTAGAAAATGGCATAGGAAAGCCTTCACAGCAAAATTCAGAAAATTCAGAAAAAAAAATAATCCTCATTATGAGTCATATATGATTTCTGAAAAATCTGGCTGATTAGCAATAAATTGGTATGTGTGGGTGGGTGAATGTGCATAAAATTTACATAACTCACTCAAAATATCTCAAGCCAAAAACGAAACAAAAACACGAACTAAACTTTTTTATTTCAACTTTTCTTCCTCCTTTATTACTTCCTCCTTTCTTACTACTTTTAGAATGCATGGTTCTCCTTGGAATGTTCTTCTCAAAAAAAAAAAAAATACAAAAGACATGTTTATCTATTTATTTCTTAAGAAATGCCAAGAAAATTATCAAGTGCCCACTGCGATTGTTTTGTTTAAACAAAAGTTTTTTCTTTCAGCAACAAAACTAAATTTAATATTCAAAATCCCTTAAGTTTCCAATTTGTTGGTTTTTTTTTTTAGATTTGTACAGTACTTGTGTCTATTTGATCACATGAAGCATTTCCTGTGTGTATGAGTGCTGAGTTAGTAGTCTGAAATACATGGAACTATTTCTGTGCATCCAGTAGATTTGAAGTGATAGTTTTCCATGGTTAGGGTCTATTGGAATCAGCCTCTTTGAAGGTCAATGCATGCATGAACTGTTAATATCATATTCATGTACTGTGTTTCCTTGTAGCAGTTGTACAATAAGTGAGGTTTTTATTTTTAGTACCATTCAAATAGAAACAGATTTAATAGTAATTACCTTGCAGAATTAATTGTCTTCTGCTTCTTGTGTAGATACCCTGCAAGGTAACCAGAGCAACAAAAAATCTTCACTTGAAAGAAGATGAAAACAATTTACTCGATTATTTCAAGAATGAGACATATACCGGTATACAGGAAGATTCAACAAAAGGGCAACTATAGGCCAACTATCTACTCACCAACAACTTTCAAATTGCTAACTGGAGTGGTAGTTGATGAAGTCCAGCAGCTTCCAAATGAAAAATTCTTTCTACTTGAGCACAAAGGAAGTTGCCCAAATAGCAAAGGAACAAAAGATCAGCTTCTAATTGACAATATTATTTTAGAAAACTGCAAGAGAAGAAAGTCCAACTTCAATGTAGCTTGGATTGATTATAAGAAGTCATTTGACTCTCTGCTACATGACTGTATAATCAAATGCCTAGAAATAAGAATAGTCAGTAGAAACATCAGAAGCTTTGCATAAAGACCATAATTAACCAATGGAACAACCTGCCTCCAGAAGCAGTGAATGTGCCAACACTGAAAGTTTTTAAGAAGAAACTGGACAGCCATTTGTCCAAAATGGTATAGGGTTTCCTGCCTGAGCAGGGGGTTGGACTAGATGACCTTCAAGGTCCCTTCCAACTTTATCATCATTATTATTATTATCAATTGCACAATGTAAGATAAGTTGTTGGTCAATGGTGATAGACTGGGATGGATTAATACTGTTTTCTTCTGTAAGCAATACTGAATAAATAAGGGCTATCAAATATCAAAAACATCTTCTAGGTTATCCCTTTATATGGATGATCTAAAGCTGTATGGAAAAATAGCATCTGACATAGAATCATTGCCTAATAATGTACTATCCATATTTATAGCCAAGATATTGCAGTGGAGTTGGACTGGACAAATGTGCTATCCTTACTATCAACAAGGGGGAAATAATGAAAACAGAAGGAATCAAGATCCCCTTTGGAAATAACATAAAGAATCTGGAGGAAGTAGGTCACTACAAATATCTGGGCATTCTTCCAGTTCACAAATGAAACACACTAAAATCAAGAAGGCTAGAAGTGAATACATAATGAAGAGTGAAGAAGATCTTAAAGTTCAAACTGAGTATAGGAAATATGAATCAGGCAGTTAACACTTGGGCAATTCCAATATTAGATATACAGCTGGAATAATGGACAGGACTCAACCAGAATTAAAAGCCCTGGATAGAAAGATTAGAAAAATAATGAGAGTGGATCATGTCCTTCATCTACGCAGTGATATTGATAGATTCTACTTATCAAGGAAAATAGATAGGAATGGAATGATGGAAATACACCAATCAGTTGAAAAAAGGGAAAATGGGCATTGAATAATATCTAAAGGACAGTGAAGAAGATGCACTGAAGCTACTATATCATGAAGGCTTACAGAAACCAAAGTGGCCTATAACAGGAGTCTCCAGCGTGCGGGCGACCGGGCCACAGGAATGGCTTGCACATGCACACGAGCCCCAGCGCCATCACCAGTGCCGCCATGGGTGCGTGCAGCCTGCTTGCGTATGCTAGCACCATCATTGGGTGTGCAGCCCTCTTGTGCATGCATGCATACACATTTCCCTACTCCTCCCTTTCCCTCTGGGCTGCCAACCTGGAAAGGTTGGGGAGCTCTATCCTATAAGAAAGACCAAATAAAGTATAGCAAAGAGACATGGCAAGGCAAAGTATTACATGGCCAGTACAAAACAGAAACCCTCTTAATAAAAATCACAGGACTTACACTTTATAATTAGCAGGATTATAATGATGAATATAATTGCACATGCTCCAATACCAATGTATAGGCCTATCCGATAATATGGATTCTTCCCTTGCTTCCTTACTATTGTAGACATATAAAATGAAATATTCTGAAAAAGCAAATAAACAAAAAACATCACAGCAGAACCAGACTGAGCTGAAGAATTTATTTATTTAATGAAAGCTATCTAGAGTCAACTAGAGCCAGCAACCTCTAAAGTATATTTATTATTTGCATTATTATTCATGAAAGTTAATGGGACATTTATCCCATCAATTCAAGATTTTAATTTAAGAAAACCATTTATCAGATTACTTCTCATTCATTTGTTTCAAACTCTTCCTCAGAACTGACACTTTGGTGGGGGGTGTTCTGTGTGTGTGTGTGTGTGTGTGTGTGTGTGTGGTTTTTTTTTAAAGAAAGATTTATTCAAATTTTAAAAGTATAAAGTTATAAATTCAAAATTTGGCCCACAAAAGACTCAACTGGCTCTCACCCTTATGTTGTTTGGGAAATTAGTCACAAAAAAGTAACAAAATGTTGTGTAAGTGTTCAGATAAGCTCTTCTTTGGCAAATTGCTAAAAAAGAAAAGCTAAAAGAAGAAGTAGGGAGGTGAAAAAAACAACAACCATGCCATCAGCAGTTAGTAGCAGTCTTAAGATGAGACATGATGGGAGCAGTGGTGGGATTCAGTTCTCATCACTTCAGCAGAACCGGTAGCTAATTTTTTGTTGCCCAGGCCCAGAATGGACTTCCAGAAGCAGCATCCACACAGAGAACCGGTTGTTCACATGTTTGAATCCCACCACTGGATGGGAGACTGTGAAAATAATAGAATATCTATCTAGCAGTAAAGTAGTTGCTGTTCCACTTATAATTCTCCTTAGAACTTCGGGGATGTAGATACTAATAGTATTTGGATACACACATGTGCATGCACACACAGTATTCCAACTGTGATTCCCTGTCTCCATCACTGGTTGTTTATTAAGTATGTCACAGAAAATTGAGTAAAATAATAACATTGGCCTTCAATCTCTATTTTTTAAAATTGAATTGGAAGTTTTTAAAATTGTTTTTGCAACCTGTGCAATGGTAAATAGAATACTTCCAGAAGTGGGAAGATTTTTTAGAAAGTCCCTCAGTCTTGCTAGGATTGAACCTCAGTGTGCCCTTCCTGAGATAGACCTCCACAGGCTCCAAGCACTGGGTAATTGGAAACACCAATATACTGGTGTTACCTGACCTAACCCAGTTTATCATGATAAATTATATCAAAAACTGCTGGGAGATCAAGGAGCACCAGGATGAACACCAATCTTATCCCAATCCTACCATAGTTCATTGACAATTACAATAGTATTGGCTATGTTCCAAATCCTGGCCTAAAAGCAGACTGGTATGGGTCCAGATAATATGTTTCCTTCAGGGTCCTCTGAGATTGAACCCTAAGCATTTTCTCTATCACCTTCCCCTAAAATGGAAGGTTGGAAACTGGATGGAAATTGTCCACGATCAATAAGTCCAAGATAATCCCTTAAGAAGCAGATGCACCATGTCGTCTTTCAAAGCATTGGTGATTACCTTTCTTCAGAAAAGCAGATAGTATTGGTTACCTCCTAGGCAGTCTTAACCATTCAGAGCAGACCTGGATCTAACTAACATATGGCCAAGTTTACAAAGTGGAGAATTAAGTGCACTTTACAGAATTGAATTCATTCAAGATAATCCTATAAAACCTTGCCTCAGGCAGTTCAACAGGACATGTCCACTCAGAGTCCAATTCCCAGCAGATCCAAGAAATTTTATTTGCCAGATAACAAGAATATTCCCCATAGTAACCCTGCACATAGTCCTGTGACACATCTCTTCCCACCCAGAATTCCTCTTCCTCCAAAGCCATACTAGGGTTCTCTTTATCTCTCAGAGCTCCTGAGGAAACTAACTCTGTATTTTCTCAATGCTATTTCCATTATTTATATTCCCAGAATAAACCTCTTTAGAAGTGTCATAATGCCTTTTGATGCCTAGTATCTGAAACATGATAGTATGGGCACCCAATAATTCATGGACACCAAAACTCCCCCCCCCCTTTTTTTTTTTTTCTTCAGATACTCACTAAAATTTATAGCCAATTCTGGGAAATTGACGACACTGAGAAGAAGTAGATAAAGTTTGCTAGGTTTCCAGAAGACTTAGTATATATAAACAGCTACCAATTCATATGCAAACACACACACACACACACACACACACACACACACACACACACAAATACATAAGCACAGAGACGCTTTTATGTTGATACTTACATTGACTGGAGATTCAGTAATGAATACCCGTTTTGGTTCAGAAACAAAATTAGACGTACTGAAATATATAGGAGTTGTATGAAGCGATGCTGAAAAATAAGGATATTAATACAGAATAAAACAAATCTGTATTTATATAACTGTCTCTCTCAATATATAGACAGAATAAGTAAAAACGTTTGGAAGACAGAATTCCATAAAATCTGTAAGGATCATTCATTCTATTTTTTCAACATCCACCATTTTCACCTCTAAGCAAATCTTATAGAGTTAGACTGATATTTGTGTCTTAATATGCCTTTTGGGGGACATGTTTGTTTTAACTGGTTTGTACAACTTGAGACAAATCATTTCAAATGATATACACACCTATACATATATTTATAAATATACACAAACATATATATGTATCTGTATATTTGTGTGTACACAAATATACACATACATACATTTTATGTATATACATACATGCATGCATACATACATACATACATACATACATACATACATACATATATATATATATATATATATATATATATATATATATATATATTTGAAAATTTGCATAAAAATACGACTCCTGGGCATGTCTATGGTACAAATAAAATACGAACACCAGGAGAGTATAAATATAAAAATATACTTTACTAAAAGCTGCCAAGCTTTCGTTTGGAAACTCCAAACATCATCAGGGCTAAGGAGCCAGTAAACAATGATGACTTAAATGGGTTTTGCCGGCATCTGCACCCGGCTCATGGACCGCGTCACCGGTCCCGGCCGGTTAATTAGTGTTCCAGATGTTTCTTTATTACTCTCCTTACGCTTCCTTCTATGGTTCTTCCGGATCATTCCTTCCACTATCTCATTACTGGTATTCATCTCCTCCACCACCCCTTTATCCTTATTTCCTTCCATAGCACTGACCCTCCTCCCCTTTTTGTTTTCATTCTCCACCCTGGGGGCATCTGTTTCTCCTCTATCAGTGTTACAAGCTTTCCTGGGCTCACAGACGCTCCCCCACACACACATGCTTTTCCCAATCCCTGCTCCACACCCTTTCTTCTCACTCTTCCACTGTCATGAGTAACTTTCATACGGGTGTTACATATTTGGGGGTCTATGCCCTCCTCCTCCGTCCTGGCAATCTTCGTGTCGACAGTTCTCCACCGTTCCATTTGTTTGCTGCGTGATCGGGTGCTTACCCCGTCTCTCAATTCATCCTTCCTCCCTATTGCACGCTCTTCCCCATTGCTGATAGGAACGGTATTCAGGCGGACACCAGGTCTCCAGATCTCTGCATTCTGATTCCCCGCGTTCTCACTCCCCTCTTCTGTGCTCGTCTTTGGGGGGACTTCAAAATGGTCGTCCCGGGAGGGGGCTGTATTGTTGGTGGGGGTATTCCTTGTCTGCAGGGAATCCAGGCAGAATTCCGTGTCTCTCCCTTTCACCGTATGCCTAGGCAATCGAGCCATGCTTTCGTTCTTCTTCTCCCCCCTACCCATAGCGTCAGGCTGCAGGCTCCTCATGCTGGATCTTCCACACTCTCCACAGTTGTTGTTAAGTTCTGGGGGTGGGGGTCTATCATGATGATATTGGGGAAGGGGGAGGTCTTCCATCGGTGGATGATTACATGTGTTTGACAGTGGTAGCCTCCTCAGACGTTCATTAGAGTGGTATTGGTGTTGATCGGGCGAAACAGGGGTGTCCCTGGAGTGTAGAGGGTTGGCCAAAGTTCCATCTATCTGTTCAGGATGGAGGCCAGGTATCCCGTCACGTTTACAGCTGTGCAAGCATTGTTCAGGCCGCTTATAATAATTGGCATGGTGTTTAAAATCCCATTTCCTCAATGCTTGTTGAGCTGGATGTAAGTCAATGTGACGATTAACCGCATCTTTCTTGGAATACCACGCCTCTTTCAATAGCCAGCCTCCCTTAGTGGCATCCTCAGACATAATGCAAACATTCACAAAGTCAAACTGGTGGCCATGTTGTGCCATATGCATCCACAATTGAGAATGCTGCTCGTCCCTTCTTATAGCTAACTGATGTTCATGCAAGCGAGATCTTAAACGCTTGGCTGTTTCACCCACATAGTTGCCATCGCAGTTCTTGCAATTGATTTTATAGATTACTGCTGATCTATCCATGGCAGGGAGTGGGTCCTTGGAGCGAACGACTTTGGACCGTAATGTCTGATTGGGTCTGTGGGCCACTTCTATTCCATGGGGGGCCAGCAGTCTGGCTGTTGCCTCCGAGACATTATTAATATATGGCAAAGAAACATGCATTCTTTGTAATGATGGTTCCTCTCTCTTTTGGTTGTTCCGGGACTGGGGTGTAAGACCGCACTGTCTGATAAACCTCAAAGGATACCCATTACGTTGGCAAATCCGGAAAAGGTATTGCCTTTCTTTCTTCTTAAACTCCTCAGTGCTGCAGTGGGAGTCCACGCGCTTAAACAATGCTTTAATGCAGCTAGCTTTATGAGATATGGGGTGGTTGCTCCTATAGTGGAGTATTCTGTCCGCGTGGGTGGGTTTACTAATTAACCGGCCGGGACCGGTGACGCGGTCCATGAGCCGGGTGCAGATGCCGGCAAAACCCATTTAAGTCATCATTGTTTACTGGCTCCTTAGCCCTGATGATGTTTGGAGTTTCCAAACGAAAGCTTGGCAGCTTTTAGTAAAGTATATTTTTATATTTATACTCTCCTGGTGTTCGTATTTTATTTGTACCATATATATATATATATATACATGTATGTGCACACATACATACATAACAGCGTGTGCATGTGTGAATAGAGTTATATCTTTTATAAAGAACACAGTAGAAGAGTTCAATATGAAATGAAACCCAAAACCAATAATGTTAATGACTATATCATAATTCATAAATAGCACATACATAATACATGTAAATATATTTTATATATAATTTTAGATGGTAATGATACTGCAGTGAGAGACAGACATTAGATTAGGTTCATAAAAATAATACTTCTTTTCAAACTTAGAAACATATTTTTAAAGCAATAATGCTCTGTAGTATACCGAAGGAGCACATGACAAATTTAAATCTGCTCACCTTCGTCAATCAGTAATTTGAAAAACTTTTTCCCATCATTGAACAATCCTTGATATTCCATTCGACAACAGTATGTCCCCATATCATCTTTTGTTATGTTAACAATGGTCAGAGATACATCTCCTTGACTGACATTTCCCATTAGATGAATTTTTTCGAGTTGCCCATCTATCTCCAGATTTTTATTAATGCTAATCATTTTATTGGGACAACTACCCACTAATGGGCAACTTCGTCCCCAACAGGTATCTGTGAGTCCATGATCCTTAACTGAATAATAACAGGGTAGCGTGATGTTTTCACCCACTTTTCCTTGTATGACAATCTCAGCATATGATGTGAAGGAACCTGTAGAAGAAATTTTACAATTATTTAAAAAAAAAACAGAATAGAAGCCATAGCTTCTAAAAGAATTTTCTTCTAACCAGCTTTCCTTAGAACAGGAGTAGGCAACCTTGGCTCTTTTATGACTCGTGGACTTCAACTCCCAGAATTCCTGAGCCAGCCAGGAATTCTGGGAGTTGAAGTCCACGAGTCATAAAAGAACTAAGGTTGCCTGCCTTAGAAGAATGAAATTATCATCTGAAATGTCCTCCCAAGCAGATACTATGAGTTCACTGTCTCAGTTTGCTGAGTAATACAAAGAAAATAAAAGCAGAATGGAAACACTGATTAAAGCACATACTCACACACTCTGTGGTTACTGCCAGGAACTCTGCTTCTTCCCTCCACATCAATTTTTTATAGCTAAGTAACCTTTTTTAGAATGTTCATAAAACAAAAAATTTCAGTAGCATGTTCTCACAAAGTTCCATTTAGGTAATAGTTGGTTACTAAACAGGACATCATGTTATAACTTTTCTGATGGAGGGTCTACATCATCTTCACACATTGTTTTCTCAGCCTAGCAAAAAAGCAACTGTTTTCTTAGCAGACTAGGTGTTATCTTAAATGAAAGAATACTGAATTACTCAGTTTTTATGAGGGGAAGACCTTTTGTGGTTTGGAGCTAGGATATGATGAAGAGTCATCTTACAGGGGGAAATGGGCAGCAAATAAGTAAGTAAGTAGGTAGGTAGGTAGGTAGGTAGGTAGGTAGGTAGGTAGGTAGGTAGGTAGGTAGGTAAGTAAGTAAGTAAGCAAGCAAGCAAGCAAACAAACAAATAAATAAATAGATAGATAAAATTCTGCTTTAAAAAACTTTAAAAGCTTATTTTTGTTTTTGACAGTTTGTTTCTCATACTTCACACCATTTTTGTCACTATATACACTGGACAGAAGGCCAACTTTTCCTATTTCATTCTTATTTTATAAAACTGGGAAAATATAATTAAGTCACATATTTGTACAATGGAAATAAATCTCTATTGAGAAACCTCAAAGGTTCTTAGCATATAGTTGTCACTGCTGTCTGTTTTAAGCCAGATAATCATGAAAATTGGAATTAATCTTAGATATATCATCTCAACATGATTACAACTAATCCTTTCCAAGTGACATTAATGAAGATTACAGATCACCCACTGTCTATACTCAGTTGTCCTACACAGGGTAATCAAGGAGCCTCAAATTTACAAATGTTATTCATAAAAGTGTATATGTTTTATTTTGACTTTTGCTTCTTTTTGCACTCATACTAGAAAAAAAAAGATTCAGATGTAATACTGAAAATGAATAGTATCAACATTAATGAACGCTCTAAATAAGACTGGTGGTGGTGGTAGATTAATGTAAACATGAATACTACCTTTATTTCCTACAATGTCAAAGATAATATATGAAGATGATGTCAATATATTATAACTTTCAGTCATTCATCAATCCCAATTCTATCATATTTGTTCAGTCGTGAACCACCCCAACTTGCATCCTAGTATTGGAATGACAGTTTTAAAATACATGCAATAACTTGCCAAAATTCTGACCAAAATCATACTACCAAATCCTCTAAGAGACTGAAGCAATACTGTTACAAAGATGTTATCCATGTGTAGCTTTAGGAAAATGTAGTTACCTGTTAATACCACAAGCAGGATCTGTTTCAGAAGCAAGCAAGAGAACATGGCAAAGGATCACCCAGAGAAAAGTTTCCCTTCTACCTATTTAATAGAAGGCTTGTTTCCCAAACAAGTTTCTGAACTTCTCTGACTTCTGACTGCTGCATGTCATTAATCACAGTGCCCTTTATGTAGATTTGGTCAGAACTTCCTCTTCCTGTCAGAAATTTAGCAATCTCTAGAAAGAAACCTTGCCTGAAACAGTTATGTGGACATGACTATGCACATGTCCAAATTGAATGGAATGGAAGGGAAGGGAAGGGAAGGGAAGGGAAGGGAAGGGAAGGGAAGAGAAGAGAAGAGAAGAGAAGAGAAGAGAAGAGAAGAGAAGAGAAGAGAAGAGAAGAGAAGAGCAGAGCAGAGCAGAGCAGAGAAGAGAAGAGAAGAGAAGAGAAGAGAAGAGAAGAGAAGAGAAGAGAAGAGAAGAGAAGAGAAGAGAAGAGAAGAGAAGAGAAGAGAAGACCATTTCAAAGAACTGGATTTCTGCTGGGCTTGCCTTAGCTTTGAAAGGCTTACAAAGGACATGACCCAAAATTGAACAAAAAGATAATTTCGCACTTGGGGCTCCTGTATTAAAAATGTCTTATCTTTAGATGCTACATTGCAAATTCTTGGCAAATGTGGTGCTACCAAGGGGGCATTCCTACCAGAGCTTACTTTTTTTTCCCATAAAAATTTCCACTGATAATAAGAGTTCTAAAAACAGCAATTGAGTATCCATCTGCTTCTTGAAAGGGAGTACAGGTCCTTCCAGGGCAAGCAGATTTCCCAATTGCTGGGCAAGGGAAATCCCTATCCATTGCCTCTAGCAATATGTTTCTTTCTAAGAATGCTTCTGAGCCAGAAATAGATAGATAAATGGTAGGTAACCAGTGTCATCCAGAGGAGTGGGGGGAGAAAGGCAGATGATCAATGAGCCAAAAAGAAACAAGGCTTCAATCACATAGTCATGGGTAGCATCTTGACTTTGTTGGGAAGTAGGACCATCTGCTTAGAAACTGAGTTGTCAGAGGAAATCCTGGAGGATTAGATTAGATTAGATAGTAGAGAGCAACTTCACCACTTTTTAATAAACAGCTGTTTTGTTCTATCACTTGCATACCAACTTTAACTTAATCCAACCGAACCTGAGAGTAACAAGAAGGTAGTATGATTCTATTCCATGTTGAATGAGAAGCAGAAGGTCCCCAATACCTGTGTGAGAAGGAAAAGCCTGCATGACTCCCTTTCCATCCATTCCATTTGCAAACCCTGATCACTCTTGACTGTGTCAGTGAACCAACGAACAATAATACCAAATACTGCTTAAGTTTTTCCTATTCATAGATAGGCAGAAACTGACTAAGGATGTTTTTCATTAGGAACTCAACCCCAATCAAAGAAAATTTGCTGAAGACATGGAAATCATTTACCCACACAATGTGATCCTCCTGACCACCAGACCATCACCCCCAAACCAATACATAAAGGAGCAAAGGTTATCATGCCCACAGGGTGAGAAAGCTGCATTTTCTCCCTATTGAACCCTACGTACCCCCTGAGGCAAACATGTGCTTGTATGCTTCCTGAACAAAGAATAGGCTTTCCTATAAATATCACTGTCCCTGTCTTTTTAATTCATAGCTACACTGCCTATTTTGATGTCAAATAAACCGTACCTCAGCTCCAAGCAGTTGCCTTGTCTTTTTTGAATCTGGTCCGGTTCAATTTTCTTCTATTATCTGGACCGTGGAAAGGATGGGAAGGTGGCTGGGGGGGGGGTTGTAGAGAAAGTTAACAAAAACAAAAGCATGCTTTAAATCTGGAAAAGTGTTAGAAAGAAGCTCAGACTGGCTTTACCCTAATTCACTGTGATATATGAGGAAGGGCAGGGACAACCCAGTCAGACAACATTTTTATATTTATATTTGTATATTTATGAATAGAAAACACAGACCAATATTGTGTGATATTACAGCAGAATACATTTGCTTATTCCACTGGTATATGACAAGAATTATCAAAACCATCAGAAATACTTTTTGAAGCCATCTAGGCATCTTTATTAAGTAAATAGTAAGCTTTATCAAACTCATATAGTTCCATAATTAGTCTAAAATGTAATCAATCCAAAATTCATTAAGTAGTTTTTGTCTGAGGGATTCAATACGTTGCCATAAAGAAGAGGGAATCAAACTATTTTCCAAAGCACCTGAAGGCAGGACAAGAAGCAACAGGTGGAAACTAATCAAGGAGAGAAGCAACCTAGAACTAAGGAGAAACTTCCTGACAGTGACAACAATTAATCAGTGGAACAGCCTGCCTCCAGAAGCAGTAAATGCTCCAACACTGGACGTTTTTAAGAAGAGACTGGACAGCCATTTGTCTGAAATGGTGTAGGGTTTCCTGCCTGAGCAGGGGGTTGGACTAGATGACCTCCAAGGTCCCTTCCAACTTTACTACTATTACTATTATTTCTAATTTTAGAATTTTGTTCAAGTGTACACTTAACTTTCTTAGCAAACCTATGCAAAATTTAAGCTTATAGTTTGCAGAACCTTGTAAAAGGTTAGAGAATGGGAAAGTTACACTAAGAGAATTCCAATTAAAAAACTCATTCCCTTCTGATTGTATATTTTATGTACTCTCTATTTCCATGATACAATTTCTGATGAGTGAGCCAATCTTTGAGCCAATGCATTTTAGGTAGAAACTTTTAATAGGTACGCGAATGAAACCTTTACAAGGCAGAGTATAATTGCAGTTTGTAATTACTGTTTAGATGTCACAGAAGTGAAATTAATCTGAAAAATTGAGCTGATTAGAAGTAAGGCCAAATTCTCACAAATCTTCCAAAGTGTAATGCAATCTGATTACAAGAATAAATTAATATTTCTCAATAGAAAAATAAAAGTGCAGCAGAAGCAACTTTGAAAACAGGTTGATGTTATTATGGTAGAAACCAGGATGAATTTGGATATACAAAATGATTAAAGGAGAATGCCCACAGCCAAAAAAGCTTATATTTTCATTTTGAATCAACTTCAATAAGAATTAGTTAAGTATTTATGGACTTCCAGATTTGCGCCACAGCACACAGCCATGGGATTGCGGAACTCCACACCCCATGGCTAATTTTGCCCTCCCAGGGGACCCTAAATGAGTCAAAAGTCACTCTGGAGAGGCAATGAAGAAAGAGGGGTGCCCCAATGATTACGGAACAATGGCAGTCATTCTGCTTGATCTGGAGGAAGCCTTCTAACCCGACAGTAGAAAGGCTGGCCACACCTCAGTGAGCAGCCCAAGCTGCTTGCAGCTGAAGTCCCAAGGCACTAACCAGAACAACGGCGAAAATCATGCTGGAAACTGTGTGAGAAATTCAATCTTCTCTCTCCTGTTTTGTGTTTGATTTCCTAGAAAAGATCCCCAAGAAGCAAAAATCCTCCAAAGTTAGAAGGGAGGGGACTACACCTCCACCCTCCCATAGATGGAAGCAGTGAATTAAACTCTTATGGGGAACAAAAATATAAAATACTACAGTCTGGATAAATTTGAAAACTAAGACAACTGTTAAAACTTCATACCTGAAAAAGTATTGATGAAATTATAAAAAAGAAAAAGAATAATAACTCTTTGCCTTAAAAGTTGGAAAATGAACAGCGACATCTAGTGGAGGATTAGAGAAAACTATAGCTGCATTGACTCAGAATTTGGCAATAGCAAAAAAACAGCTGGGAACAAAGCATTGAGATATCTACTACTGAGTGAAACTATATATGTTTAAAAACTGCTGACTTTCTGGGATTATAAATACACTGAACTGCATTTTTAAATTTAAGAACTGTTTGCAGAAAAATAAAAACTTTGGCCTTGGCTAATCTTCTAAAGGGGAAGCTACTGGAAAGCTTATAGGTGGTTAAAAACTTTGGACTGAAATCTTGGTTGGTTGACAATTAGAAGACCCTGAAAAGAACTGTTACTGTTCTGTTTTCAGTGGTGCCTTGATAACTGGAAATGTATTGGATTATAAAAACCATATATAAAGATAACAACTACATAAGATTTGGTTGTTTGGATTTTAAGATGGGCTGGTTCAACAAAGCTAATTAAAGAGACTATAGTACCAGTGAAAAACTACTTAGAGGGCAGAGATAAAATGGATCTTGTATATTTATCTAAAAGTGATGGAATGACTCGAGATAAAGCAAATAATCCCAGGAGAAAATATATACAAAGCTGTGACAGATTCAAATGACAATTGTCTTAAATCATGATGAAATTAAAAACAACTTTGATAACATAAATGAACATATCTTTAACTTAAACTCACAATTAAATAACGCTCAAAAAATGACGATAAAGAATGAACAAACAAATCAGATAATAGAACACAAACTAGAGGAAAGTGACTTAAATATGAAAACTACAAATGAAGACAACCATAACCTAACACAAATAAAAGAAAATCCACAAAATTTTACCACAACAAAGGAAACAAAAAAAGATGTTTTACCTTCCAGGACTTCAAAATAAACTTGAGGACAAAAAAAAAAAAAATTAATAAAAGTGATTAAAGAGCTGCCAGGAGAATTACTAAAGCATGGAAGACAAAAAAAAATACTCTAATTTGTCTTTTCTATCCCCAACATCATTTACAAAAATACAACCTGGCAAGCTAAACTTACTGATTTGGAAAGTGAACTGGCAAAAGAAGATTAGAGTTAGAGTTAAGAGATGTGATTCAATTTATCAGATGGAATATTATATGACTAAACACTTGTTTGAATACGGTTATACTTTTATAATATATGAAATGTAAAAATATTGAGACAGTGTATTTGAATGAAAAGTTTGGATATTCAAAGGTAATGAAACTTGAGATAATTATGACTGATAAGAGTGGTTTGAATACTGAGGGGAAATTAAGTTTCAATAAGAATCTTGAAAACAGGACATATAATGACCTAATAAGATGATTTCTATAAATACAATTGAAACATAAGCTGATTAGAAAAGATGTTATATGTTGATGTTACTATTATATGTACAAATACTAAAAAAATGTTTATACACAACTTAGTATGTATTGAAAGTATTAAGAATTATAGACAAAAAGAGAGTATTACTGGAAGCAGAGAGGATCAAGGAAATATATTATTAACCAACATATTGATTAAAGTTAGAAATTAATTATTGTTTTTAAATATATGAACCCAGACAGTACACTGTTCACAAAGCACTAAAGATTCTTAATGTAAAAAACTAATAAAATATATTTTTTAAAAAAGAATTAGTTAAGTATTTATTCGGTGCACTGAAGCCAGCAGTTTCATTTTTATTTTTAAGGAGTAGACAGCAGTTGTCCAGATTAAAGGCACTGTCCCCATGGGTCAGAGATGTACTAATTGCCTAATTAATTTCCTTTAGCTCAGGAATCCCCAACCCCCGGTCCGTGGACCAGTACCAATGCGTGGCATGCCAGCAACCGGGCCGCATAAACAAGCAAAGACCCATCTGCGAGATGCAGGCAGCACACAAAACCACGCACTCTCCAGTCTGTGGAAAAACCTCTCTCCACAGAACCAGTCCCTAGTGCCCAAAAGGTTGGAGACCTCTGCTTTAGCTAGATCCCACATGCCATGATGAGTCAAGAATCCATGTGGTCAGCTAGACATTTTCCAAAACCTTGTGTCCATCATTAGACTGTAGCAACTAAAACCAGTCTCACATATCCAGGCTGATAGTTTTCTGAATGTCATTCCTTAACTTTTAAATACAGTATGCACTACATGCTTTTAGAAAAGTCCTGTGATTTTGCTTTCAGGTCTTACATCATTGTCCCCCATTTCCATCACTGTGCCAGATTGTAACAGCCCTCTAATCACCTAGAAAACTTTCTTCTGGATAGTCACTAGAGGAAACAATAATAGCAGCAAAGTAAACTACTTTGCAGTTCTCAATATCATGTTGAAGGCACAGTTTTCGGCTCTCACATATTCTGTATATTCACTCTGAGACTCAAGCCATTTGCTTTCAAAGTATTACTTTTTATTGGCAGTTCCTCTGAATGAGTCCTCTTGATGCTGGAGGATGCTTTCCATCTTATTGTTCATGAGGGTCTCAATGCAAATGCATCTCTGCATGCATTTAGGATTCATGCAGCCCATATGTAAAACACCTAGCAGTAGCCATTCTGATATGCTTGGATGTCTTCGTGCCATTGGTGGTGGAATCTCCTCTACTAATGGAACCAAATTTCAATATCCATGCTCTGGGGATGGAATCCTGACCATAGGATGAAAATTCATCCTATGAGGGAATGCAACTCTTTAAGTCCTTTTAGACCCCCTCAGTGATGTTCAATATCATTAATTGTGGTATCCTTTTAAACTGTCTGCAATAGTTGGGACATTTGTTTTGCGGTGGTTCCACTTTTTCTTAATTAGGAAGTGAAGTTAGAGGGGAAAGGAGGTTAGCCAGGTTGTTCCTTTTTTGTGGGTACCATCACACCTGGTGCTTTTTAATATCTATATGCAACTGCGGAGAGTTCATTCAACTTACTTAGGCTTTGAACTCAGCCAAAGACAGCTTGGTGCTGCCTCCTGCTGAGGCATTAAATCTCCTACAAGTATATTTATATATTAAGCCTACTGCATGTGTCTCTAGAAACAAGCTGCACATAAAGTAATTAGGGGAGAAAAATAAAATCTATTCAATATCCATCATAAATTATTTTCATCGGTTTTCACGAAAAAGAACTGCTTTATTCCAGAGCTGTTTATAATTTCTTTTTAAAAATCCAGAGCTATGTTTCTGTTTCTCTTTACGTGGGCTCTCACACTTCTCAGCAGTGTGGTACTATTAAAAGCAAAAATAAACACATTAGAAAAAGCTATCTTGGTTAGGTGCTCACTGTACAATTATGTTAATGTTTACTAAATCTGAAATGAAGATGCAATATCAAGGCAAAACCACTCAGTTTTCTTGGACTATTTTGTTTATAAATTTGAGTGTAACTTTTGTCATGCATATTATAAAGTATAGATGAATCCTTAACATTGCAAAAATAGTAGCTAAAATAACATCACTATCAATTATAATTAGTAATACTAGGATAAAATATCTAAACACAATTTATAGACAAGTATTTTGTTACATAATTGCATTCTTGAGGTGAATTTTAATGACTGTTCCCTTTTTTAATCAAACTGTATTTTCTAATTTAGAGATAACTCAAATTAGCACAATAAAAATTATCTAAAGGATAATTTTATCTAAAAGAAATTATAGGAAAAAAACAAAATCACTAAAAAATAAGCACAAAAATAATAGGTATTATTTTGATTATTTATAAAATTGTAGAGAAGAGATTGTCAATGAAACAGAGATACCATATATATATATATATATATATATATATATATATATATATATATATATATATATATATATATATATATATGTGTGTGTGTGTGTGAATAAAAATATAGAAAAACAAACACCAAGATAAAAATAAACAGGACCATTTAATATAAACAAGCCTGTAAGTAAAAGAGTTACTGAGCTTTCCTCAGCCAAAGTACTGATGAGCTGAGGTGGCACAGCAGTTAGAGTGCAGTACTGCAGGCCACTTTAGCTAACTGTGTTCAGCAGGTCAGCGGTTCAAATCTCACCGGCTCAAGGTTGACTCAGCCTTCCATCCTTCCGAGGTAGGTAAAATGAGGACCCAGATTGCTGGGGGCAATGTAAAATATATATATATACATTGCTTACTGGTGTACACTGCTTAGAAAGTGCTTGCACTTAAAAGCGGTATATAAGTCTCATAAATAAATAAATGTCATCAGTTAGAATGCTAGGTGATTAGGGAGCTTGCCTATATAGCTGCCTGTCTCTGCACCCGGCTTCTCAAGCGCGTCATCGTCCCATTAGTTATGTTAATATGCAACATGCTAAGTTGATTCTCATCCGGCAGCTTGTTGGTGGACCTGATGATTGTATTCCGATCCTCTATTGCTTTTCTAGCACACGTGCAGACACCTGGGGGGCAGCTGTGAAGCCTTATCTCTCCTCCCTCTCATTTTGGAGCAATCTCTCAATCTGAATTTCAAATGCCCTGTGGGGCTGTCATCCTCTCCTAAGGCCGCCATTGTTTCATCCATAGCTCCCTCTCCCCGATCCTGCAATCTAGTCTTTGGCTAGTAGAACTTGGTTTCTGCAACTGGAAAATAGATTTGTTCCTTTTGGCAGCCCCTCTTCTGTGTCAGTTTCTTCAAATTGTGCATCTACGATTTCAAATGTCTTGGAGCCACCATCCAGGAAGGATCTGGAACAATACAAAACTGCCTAGTCTTATTTTCCAACCACCATTTTCCCATAAAACTAACAAATTTCAACAGGAGCGGTCTAGAATCCATCATGGTTCCCCAATCATCACATCCCCATTTCTCTTTCTAGAAGTAGGTTCCCCCAATCCCTTTTTTAAGACTGTACCAGCTCAGTAGCAACCCTTCATTTTTCTGGTGACAATTTTTTCTTATGAAAAATTACTTTCTATACTCAATTTCAACCCATCAGTTAACCAAAACAGAATATAGGTTCAAGCTTCTGTGTAGATATCACAATATCATTCAGAAAAAACACCCTAACATAAGACTACCTTCCATCCTTAGCTGTTAGTTTAGTATTCCAATTCCTGTTTCTATACTATTAGATGTATAGCCCACCTTTCCTCTAGGAACTCAAGGTGGTATATATAGCAGACCCTACTCGAATTTTCCCCTGATTTTCTCTCAATGAAATAGTGATTACTCCAGTCCTTCAATGATATTTCATGAACTTGAGTCTCCCTGGTCCTATTTAAATATCTTAAGCTCTGAAGATAACTGTGGCTGTTTCCTAGCTGAAAATGTTTATTCTCATGAAAACTAGAGCATGACAGGGACTATAACTATCATACACATTAATCATAGTAAAGCTGCTTTTGAGAATTGGAAGACTTTCTAAATTGCATGATATTTGGTACAAAAAAATACAATCATGGTAGCGAGGACAGATAGAAGCAAAACATTACTGACTTTCACTAATACTTTTAATTAGTACCAAACCTCTGGTTACACCATACTAGCAAAGTAGAAGTTCTACAGATTGAAGTAAAGAAAAATATCTGCCACTCTCACATTTCCCCCAGACAATAATGGAATTGGGGGAATTGAATTATTCAATCTTTAAAGAACAAAAAAAAATCATTACCTTGTAACATATACAACTTAATTTGTTCTTTGATATGTATGTTAGTATTTGTTCTTGCAAGTATTATTTTTTCTTGTCCCACAATTGTAATTACCGTACTTTCCAGCATATAAGATGACTTTCTAACCATGCAAATCTTCTCCAAAGTCGGGGGTCGTCTTATACTCCGAGTCCTCTTATACACCGGAAAATAAGGTATCTTGTATAAAAAGTTTTCCTGATTGTGTAGAAATTTAGAAATCAGGAAATAATGTTTTAAGTGTTTCAAGTATGTGGTTTAAATGTTGAATATATACATACTATGGCCATGCTATGTTTACATACTTCCAGTTCTTTAGTAAACACACAGATTTCAACACAGTAGTTCAATTATACTTAAGTCAGCATTAAGAAGCAGTCAAGCTCTGAGGAACAACTGTTTTACAACCCTATAAAATTGAGTTACATTTTAATCGGAGGGAAGTAATAAGGCTTATCCTGCAAAATACAAGGCTAATTTGGTTCAAATCTTGTGTTAAATATTTTAAAGATAAAGTTATCTCAAAGAATTGTTTAGAATTTCTTTCTTTTTAATAAATGTTAGTCCAAGCTTCCCTATCTGCAGAAGCAGTTGCTTTAATTCACAAACATTCATAACAAGAAAAAAATATTTAATGTTTCACTTCTACTCTGTATACATAACAGTGTTGCTGTGGTACAACATATGTCTTTTAATTTAACCTAAACAAGGAATCACATGTATTTAAATTCCTTAAAGTATCTCCCATACTTCAATAAATGACCATCAACAGAATTTGGATACTGATGAATTGCATAGTTAATATACGGGTAAAGCTATCAGTAACACTGATGTTCTTTAAAGTCAAGCATAGATACACATGCAAAAACTAAACAAGTAATTTTTTTAATATTTACTGACTCATACAGATTGTGCTCCATGACTGTTTAAATCTTCTTTTAAATCTTAAATAGCAAAAGGAAAAGAAACTTCATACTCTAATTCCCTAAGCATCAGTTACATTCCCTGAAAAATCACAAATCCCAAAGCTGTTTTCATGTCATTTCATCAATAATGCTACACATATTAGCATCTTTATCCAAAACCTGATCTTTTTTTATGCTAGAGGTTGTTCTTTGCTGTTCATTCGATCCAATACAGTCTATGCTGTCTTCAGTGTCCATTGGTTCAGTTTTTATTCTCATCCCTCCATCTGAATGAGGTAAATCTTCTGGCAGAGAAGCCAAGCAATTCTGAATCATTTCCACAACTCGGTCTAAATGTTTCTGAAATCTTTCTGCAGTTTCTAGACGCTGACGTTTCTGTACTTCCATCATGACCCTCAATGTCTCTCTGGCTTGATGAGGTCGATATTCATTTATAAGGTGATGCACATGAACAAATAGCAGTTTTAAATCTTCCAGTTTCTCTTCTCTTTTTATGCTGCCTGGGCTTCTTATTAATATATCCAAGAGATCTAAGAAGTTGACCAGGATTGACATATTAAGTTTCCTTAACTCCTTTTTATGGTCAAACTGCATGGGATGCAATCGTTCAATACCCTGACTTTCTAATGGTCGAATAATTAGATCATCACATTGGAACTGATTTCCAAACATCATATAGCTATCTTTAATAGGTGGTGGAGGCTTAGGAGCTAAACCTTTCCGAATGTTTTCATCAGTATATTCTTTAATATATTGCATTGGAGGTGGAGGGAGGGCACTCACTTGCTGAGGTTCACCCATTGCAACAGGACAAATAGCTAGAATAAAGAGATAAAATATGCAAAGATAAAAATAAAATTAGCATTTAAACATATGCAAGACAGATAAGCATTTATATATTACAATAAAGCTAAACTGTTTCTGTCCAACAGACCAAATAGGTAAGAATACTACTTACTAGCACAAATTATGGAGTTATCTGCCACCTGTTTATAAATATTTAGAGGATTTAAAATAAATTGACAAAAATAATTTGGGTTCCTCACCATACACACTTGAAACATGCAAGAGGGTTGATCCAACAGTTTTATTTACTGTTTTAATATCTTATTAATATTGTTTACTACAATTATGTGTAAATTGGATCCCACTGTATTTTTGTTTCTACTGCCAACCATAACACATATTTTAAGAAATAGATCGATTTTATGATACATTCAAGATCATCTACTCCCCCTCCTTGCCATATCCAGAAATCCACTTCTACCATAACAAACAACATCACATTACCTGAAAGATAAAGCTGACACAACTTTGACAACCTTGATAACAAAGTTGGGAACGTTCACTTCATACACATCATCTAATGAAGCCTACTCCTGGGTATTCCAGTATTTGAGAGGCTAAGCCAGAAAGAAGAAGGGTTCAAATTATTCTCCAAAGCACCAGACGGCAAGACAAGAAACAATGGTTAGAAACTAAATAAAGAGAGAAGCAACCTGGAATTAAGGAGAAACTTCCTAACAGTGAGGACAGTTAACCAGTGGAACTGTTTGCTTTCAGAAATCGTGGGCGCTCCATCATTGGAGGTTTTTAAGAAGAGACTGGACAGTCACTTGCCTGAAATGGTACAGGTTCTCTTGCTAGAGCAGGGGGCTGGACTAAAAGACCACCAACGTCTCTTCCAGTTCTATTCTATTCTAAATATATATGTACATTCTCTCTCACTGAAGAGGCCGTTCCCATATATATTAAGCCCGCCTCACTTTTTTCCAAACTTCCTGTTCTCCTCCCCTTACACAAATGTAAGACAGTTTTGAGATCGTGACCTTAGTACGAACGTGGATGATGATCGCTTTTAATCTTTGATCCGAAGATATTAAAGTCGTGCCCAATCCATTAATCTGCCTTCTCTCCTCCCATATTAAGGAATAGCTAAGTGGAAGTCAAGGAATCTGGTTGAATTATCGGTCCCGTGCACGAAAATAAAAGAAAAAACGCCTTACTAACAGCTGATAAACGGCAAACCGGAAGTGTTCCAACCTCAGGCCTCTAAGGTTCCTCTTCGGGCAAAACAAGCGGGAAAAGCGCAGGATGCAGACCCTCAAAAGCACCTGGGATCAGTGAGAGTTGGTTCCGACATTACAGAGGAGGGGAATTTCGAGCTAAAAACTTTGGCTTACTTGATATTACGTCTACAGATACCAAAAAGAGATAAGCCGCCGGGCTTCCAGCAGCTCTGCGCAACAATATCAGTTACCGGTATCCACTCCGCTTCTCCGCAGCAGCAGCACAATTACTTCCGGAGCGCGCCGGTAGCGTGCCGCTCTCTTCATTGGCTTCCACGGAGGAGGCGCGAGCGCCCTCCAAAACGGAAAAAAACGAAAAGGACACTGTTGGAAGCAAATCGCAGACCAATAAAAGGAGAGGGGCGGAGTGGGGGCAATTTGCGCGAGGGGCTTTCGTTGCAAGTCATCGGTTGCGCATAAGCGTTTTGTCTTTTCAACCGCCCTCCCCCTCCCTTTTTTTCTCGACGTAGTAAGCTTTAAGCAGATGGGTGTCCCAAAGATGCTTTTCCAGGAGGCAACTGGACTCTCTTGTTTTTCATTGAAGACGTTTCTCTTCTCATCCAAGAAGCTTCTTCAGCTCTGACTGGATGGCGGGGAAATGGAAGGAAAGAAAGACTACAGGAACTATGTGTGCTTCAGTTTGAGATGGAACACAGGCTCATCCCCAACAGTCTGCGCCTGTGTTCAGCAGTGAAGGTGGACAGAGCAGAAAACATCCTAAAGAAAACACAGCTCCACAACACAGTCCTTTCAGCAGTTCCAAGAAGGCTCCACACCCATTTGCACTACTCAGGTATCCTGAGGACAAGTGACCTTAAGGTTCTCTAAAACAATGCTGTCTGCAAGGAGTATAAATCCTTCCATTCCCCACCATCCAGTCAGAGTCTTGTGAAAAAGCATCTTTGGGACAATCATGACTGAGACTCTCCATAGACATTTAGTGATGGGAGAAGTTTGTTTTCGGGTGGTACGTATTTCCTGAAATGTTATTGTGGTTTAGAGGAGCTGTGAAAATATCTAGGATTTTATTGTAGCTATGATTAGATGGCCACACAAATGTTAGTCAAATTCTTTCAAAATCAGATCTTTCCTGGGAAAGACTAGACATACCCAATTCCAGCAACCATTCTTTATATGTTTTAGACTCCAGTTCCCTAATCTTTGTTGCTTTTCTCTGTACTCTTTCTAGAGTCTCAACATCTTTTTTACATTGTGGTGACCAAAACTGGATGCAGTATTCCAAGTGTGGCCTTACCAAGGCCTTGTAAAGTGGTATTAACACTTCATGTGATCTTGATTCTGTCCCTCTGTTAATACAGCCTAGCACTGAGTTGGCTTTTTTGGCAGCTGCAGCACACTGCTGGCTCATATTTAAGAGATTGTCCACCAGGACTTCGAGATCCCTCTCACAGTTACTGCTATTGAGCAAGAGAGCAGACATGGAACCTTTTCCCCATTGCCAGCAATGGGGTGGGCGCAGTTTCCTCATGGTGTGTCCGGCCACGTATAGGTCCCTGACCTATACTGTACCTGTGCATTTTCTTGCCTAAATGTAGAACCTTACTTTTTTCACCATTGAAGTTCAATTTTTTTTGCAGGTAGGAGACAGGGAATCTAAACTATTTTGATTCTGTTGTGAATCACAAATTGATTATAGGAAATAAGGTGAGAGTGGTTTTCAAAACTTGTAAATCCAGGATTGTTCATAAATATATAAGAATTGTGGCATTGATTTGCCTCATCCACAATCTGTTACTAGAAATTGAAGTACCTAGTGTTTAGACCAGTGGTTCTCAACCTTTTTAATGCCGCGACCCCCAACCGGTCGTAAGTTGAGGACTACTCAACCGGTCATAAGTCGAGGACTACTCAACTGGTGCAGCACCGTTTGCAGAATGGGGCTTTTGGTGGGCTCAGCAGGGCAGAGACAGCCTGGACAATTCCTATTGGCTTTTGAAAGCCAATAGAATTAGACTCTATTCAAGAGAGTCTATTCTATTGGCTTTCAAAAGCCAATAGAATAAAAGGGAGTAGCACAGCTAAGGAAAAGGGGAAAAAATGGCGTACTGCGTTGTTTGGGGACCCCGTGAAATAGTCATTCGACCCCAAATGGGGTCCCGACCCACAGGTTGAGAACCACTGGTTTAGACACTACTATCTTTATATATATAAAATATGTGCTAAAATAATCATTTGAATCGTGTGTGTGTATGTATGTGTACTAAAATAATCATCTGAAGATATGATTTCCTGAAACACCAGTTGCACAAAGCTGGAGTTGCCAAAAATAGATCATAATTAATCAGATTATCAATCCAATTTTGTCTGTAGATTATTGTCAGAAGATTCTAGAGGGGAATTATAATCACAAATAAATTGTTCAAGGAGTAAAGCTGAATTTATTAATTAAGGTAGCCTTATGCTGGAAAATTCAGTGGGTGATTTTGTTCATTCACCAGAGTTAAAATTGAATAACCAAGTTGGACCATGGAATATTTCATTACATTCTACCATATTCTGCTCAGTATAATGTCTGAGGAAAGTCCTGTAAAAGATGTTGGGAGACCCAAAATAGCTTTGCTGTTCTAAAACTAGCTGTTACATTTATGTTAAATTAATCCCAAAGATGCTTTTTCAAGAAGCAACTAGACTTTCTTTTTTTTAAAGACATTTCGCTTCTCATCCAAGAAGCTTCTTCAGCTCTGAGTGGATGGTGGGGAATGGAAGGATTTACACTCCTTGCAGACAGCTGGTCATTTGCATTCTTTTAGAGAATCATTGAGGCCACTTGGAGGCTTATCCGTGTCCTCAATACCTGAGTAGTGCAAATGGATGTGGAGCCTTCTTGGAACTGTTGAAAGGACTGTTTTGTAGACTGACCATAGATAATGCCATATCCCTCCCGTCTGTTGAAAGAGGACTGTTCAATTTTGACATAGATGGCTTTTTTGACCCCTCATTCAAACCAGCAATGTGGACTTTGCTGTCTTTGAAAGAGTGGCCTTTGTCTTTTAACATCTTAACCATTAAATATCAAATGTAAATTTACCCTTGTATCTATATGGTTTATACAGTGTTGTGGGTATTTGTTTTAGCACCTGAATTCACTTAATGTTCTTAAGTGGCTCCAGGATAAAATATAGTGGCTAGATTTTCTTCACCACAGACCTCCCATTAAATACCTTTTATGGCCATAACCATGGCTATAGAGTGTGGGATTAATTGCACAAATATGCCCATAGACATGCTCCCACAAAGTCCTTGAGATAACAAACGGACTGCTCCAGACACAGAATACATTCATCAACCATTTGGACAGAGTCTGATAAGAACACCTGCATAGCCTTGCATCTGGAGAGTGTCTGTTATTTGATACATTGTAACCACCCCTATATATGTCTTTTGATTACGCTGTGTGATGTAAAAACTATAGTAACAATAAAATAGGGTGTTGGAGTCAGCTCTGGGCTCCCATCCCGAGATACCTGCGTGCGTGTCTCATTCTCCATGGGAGACCACCACAATAGAGCCCCAAGACTTAATTCAAGATTTAAATCATAACATTTCTTCAAGCTTTTGCAGACCTCCTGGGACAACATCACGGCCCACCTGGGGCCGTGGATCACAGGTTCAGAACCACTGGGCTAGACACAGTATTGGGCAATTGGGTAGAAAAGAGATTTTCAGTAATTTATGCTTATGCCCCCAGAAAAGATGGCTCTTCTATCCTAACGTGCCTGTTTTTATGTTATCAGGAAAATCTGCAGGTTACTATGTTGATCACTGGGCCTTGGAAATTGTAGTTGAAATATATGTAGGTTCTGATATGATGATAACATTTTCTTATCTCTTTTTAATAATGGAAAATGTTAAGATATTGTTAGATGAAAACAAGACCAGTTCTTAAAGTTGTAAGAGAGATATTTTCCCGAATTCCTGTATACTACATCCACATGCTACCAGATGAAATTCAGTGGGGTATTCCTCACTGTAGAGCCTCACTTCTGCACATCTGGAAGATGGGTATTTGAGAGGCCGCTTCCCTCCAGTCACACCTACCCATCTTATCAGGATCCAGGAGGAAGAGCATGTTGTGATCCTTTTTTGCTGTGAGCCCCTCCCCTTTGGAACATCATTAAGTCAGATTGGCTTCTGCCTTCTTGGCTTTCCAAAATAGTCTGACAACATGGCCTTGCCATTTTGCCTAGGGATCCAGGAACCACTGTAAAGTGGTTATATTACTAGGGAAATTAAATGCATTCTCACCCATTGATAGTTTTGTTTTTCTTATTAGCTATTTTATTGTGTTTTTGTGTTTTTTAACTTTGTTTGCTTCACAGAGTCACATATGTGAGATAGGCAGCAATATAAATTTATTAAATAAATACATATGAAAAGAAGATATTTTTTTATTTGTAACACAGCATAAAGGTTATAATCCATTTCATGGAATACATATTGTCCAATGTACCTCTAATGTTTTTCAAATGAATTTCTACTGCCACATAAATTTCATATGTAAAACACATTGTTAATGGATCAAATAAAAACAACAAAAATATGTATTATTCTGTGGTCCACTTTATTACATGTGTTTCCCTTCATGTTATGCCACATTTAGGCAGCAGAGAGCAGCAGTAATCATGGCTTGAGAGGAACTATCTTTTTTGCTTAGTTTTATTGAAATGCAATGATCTGTAGAAAGCACTAAATACACTTCAGGATTAAAAGAGTTAGGTTTTGCTATACTTTTTATTAAAAAGTACAGCCTTATGCTTTGAGGAAGGCAAGTAGCAGCTTTGGATGATGATTTAGGTTTCAAAAACAATGTAAAGGAATCATCAGCCTGTTCCAAGTATCTCTTTTGAATCAAATTAACATTTCACTCTTGAGTGAATGCTTGGAGTGAAAACAATTTTTTTCAATAGCAAATCTTGTGTATAATCTATGCCCATTTTAATACAAGTAATATTTTCAAAAATCCAATCTTCGAATGCAAATCAAGCATTCTTTATGTTTAGGAGTACTTAATATATGCCATATAGTAAGCAGGCAGTGATAGACTACAGCGGAAATAGCAATAGCTGAGGAGCATAGTATCAGGATTCATGAGTTTCATATAAACAGATAATCAATGAAAGTAATAGCATAAGCTTGGCTAATATGCAATAGCAGATGTAGCTTCCACAGAGAGCTCATAGCAAGTGTGTCCTGAACGCAGCATGGAAGCCCTTTCTCTAAATATGGGAGAAAATAACTGATATGATGGTTGGGTAAACATAATTGTGTAAGGGCACTTCTTGCCATAACTTCCAACTAATAATCCAGTGACAGATGAATATAAAGGATCACTTCTAGACTATAAACCTTCTCTTATAAATTATTTTACATTCAACCATTCTCTCATCTACCTCATTACATACTGAACTTTTAGCAAAGACTCTTTGTTGAAGATGGATGGTAAGGAGCAATTGAACTGGATGTTATCAACACACTGACACCTCATTTCAACCTTTGCCAACATAATCATGTCGATGAGGGTTCTTTGGTAGAAAGCTTATTATTGTCTCCCTCCTGCTAGGAAATAATTGACTACTTCCACTACTCATGGTACTAGTCTCATGCTAGCTGATTTAATCATCCAGTCAAGCAATTGGGATAATCCACATTCTTCCACATACTTTACATGCCTTGCTTAATCTTTAAACCAAAACAATGAAACAACTATTAGAAAATAGTTGCAGACCCACAAACTCTACTGAAACACCATTGTAATACTCTTGGTTGAATCACTGAACAAAACAGAAAACTAAATGAGCACAGAGTAAATTGAAAAGATAATGAACAAGGAAATGGGCTTATAGATAGGAAAAACATTCAAACACCCTAAAAATGTAGGCAGTTATAATGTTATCCACTTAGTCAAAAAATATGATTTGTGTCATTCAATTATTTGATTCTCTGTTTCGATCAATTAATAAAGGTTAATCTATTTTGGTGTTTTTTCTTCTATTTGGGAAATAAGTGCTTAAATTCTAAGGTGTCTATTTCTCTATAAAATATGTGTGCATACATTTTTTGCAATAGATGTTATGAAGAAATATCAACATAAATTAAGCATACTCAAGACTTTCTGAAATGAATAGCACCCAAGTATATCAATAACTAATTAAAAATCTGAACTGCAGTTGAATTTTGGAATCCAGTTAATAAAATGTCAATGATTAAAAAAAATAATTTTAATCCTTCCTAAAGTTGAATAGTAAGACAAAACAAAAGTAAATATATAGTTTTAGGGGTTTGTTTTATATGCAAAATATGGCTCCAAGTGTTTTCACCAAAGCATTTATTTTTCAGATAAAGAGCAGTTGTCATTCAAGCTTTTGAGTTACTTTTCAATTACATGTGTAACATAAAGTACAATGCATTGCGCAGTGTGTTTGAAAGGATGTGGTTGTGGGTTTTATATCAGAAAGGAAGCTATAGAACAGTGCTGCCTGGATGACAGATGGAAAGATAAAGCACCTACATTGTTTTTTGCATCCATGTTTGAGACTGTTCACTCTTTGTGTCTAATTTCATTTTCCTGGTCTCATGTGTGGAGTATTAAGAGCAGATCCCTTTTCATCCTGGAATTTGGATCATTATTTTCTGGCAATGAATAACTGCGTTCTTCTGGAAGAAGAACTGATAAAAAAATCTCAGCAAAAAAGAAGAACCTCCCCTTCCAACTTTAAAGTTCGATTCTTTGTCTTAACAAAATCAAGACTGGCATATTTTGAACGTCGGCCTGGGGTATGTGTGCTATTTTCCATGAAGTTTCCTAGCTTCATCACTCAAAAAATACAGAAGCTCTTAAGAAAATGAATAATGTTTCATTGGATTTTTTAATGTTAATTTTTGTAGAGCAAGGCTTCAAAGTTTTACTCTGTTTATTCTATATATAATGATTTCATAGTATGTGTGTTACATACTATGTAGCATCACAGCTATTTTGTAATTGGGTAGTGAACAAAGCTTTCATCAGACTAATAATTTGTGATATGAAAAATAATTAATTTGTGAATTAACACTTTATCCTGTGCATTTGAGGGGAACCATAAAAGCATAATGGTGTTTATCCCTTTACAGAGTTTAAAGTTGTGACTTTTGTTTAGCCACAATGTTAATACAGGTAGTTCTGTGTTTTTCGCCCATGGTGTCTATGTCTTCGGTTTATACAAAATGATGTATATACAAGAATGTTGAAAAGAATTTGGTAATCAGCTTGAATATTCTGAAGGACAGTCTTTTAACTACAATTGAAAGATTTATCAAGGTCCAGATTTCTTATTGAAAAAGGGACTTATTCAAATCCTGCAGGAGCATACAGAACCAATATTTTGTATGTACACACCTTTACAGCCATGCCAATAAAAATTTGTCCTGTGTACTTTTTTCAGGAAAATGGAGTGTTCTCATAATATTATTGTTTCTATTATTTCTATTGTTTCTCAAAGAAAATTAAAATGTTATTAACTTCCTTTGAGGATATAAATAATAATATTATTTTTCTAAATACTTAGTAAAATTAAATGTAGACTAATACTTCAGATCCCCGACTTAAGGAAGTCCATCAGCCAACTCTCCAGATACTTGGCTGGTAATGACTATCAGCTGAACACTTCAAGTTTAGCTAACCAGTTTGGAAGCTGCTGCTGAAATCCTAAGTATTTCAAAGTGATTGTTTCCACTTTGCCGCTTTCTGGTTGTGTGGTATATTTTTTCTGAAACAGTTCTGAATTTAGGAACTGTTCTTGAATATTATTGAAATACATTCTTTGCAGATAATTCTTATAAATGTATATCATTGTATTGCTTTGTCTTTCCGTTGAAAGCTGGACTTGCTTCCTTTACATGAAAGTAGGATGAAAGACAAATGTAGTTTTTCTGGCTCATTGTTGGTTCAAGTCCTGTCGTTTGCTTTCTTCTACCAGCTGCTTTCCAATATGTTTTTTAATACCACAGATGGAAGGTGGTAACGAATAATAGGAAGGGAGAGATTCTGAACAGGAAGAACAGTTTCCCTCTTCATTATCCAGCTAGACAGGTGAAGGGCAATGTCTAGTGCCAAACGTAGGAACTGTCGATTCAAGTAGAGATGCTTTTCTTATAATACCAGTAGTTTTGTCTCTTCACTTCTTAAGATTCAAAAAGGAAGAGACTGAATACTGGAGTTATCCCTGATTGCTCCTGGATTTACCTGTCAAAAGACAGTGTGGTATTCCATCTCAGTATTTTCTTCTTTAATAAGAAAATAATATAAGGAGTAAAAGTAACTAATTAAAAAAGAGGCTTACCAAATAGAATATGAAAATGTTTGATCTCCTTGTAAAATTCTCCGAATAAGACAGGCCAATGATAAAGCCTTGTCTGAAAATATTTGCACCCAAGAGTGCCTTTTGACAGTTATTACCAGTTGGTATAGTGGTTAAGGCATCAAACTAGAAACTGGTAGAGAGTGGGTTCTAGTGCTGCCTTGGGCACAAAGTTGGTTGGGTGACCTCAGACCAGTCACTTTTTCTCAGTGCAAGGAAGAAGGCAGTGGCTTTCCAAGAACTGGATGATGGTGATGATGATGATGATGATGATGATGATGATGATGATGATGATGATAATAATAATAATAATGATGATGATGATGATGATGATGATGATGATGATGATGATGCAGGAAGGGACCTTGGAGGTCTTCTAGTCCAGCCCCCTACTCAAGCAGGAGTCCCAAACCATTTCAGACAAGTGGCTGTCCAGTCTCTTCTTAAAAATCGCAAGTGATGAAGCACCCACATCATCTGAAGGCAAGCTGTTCCACTGGTTAACTGTCCTCACTGTTAGGAAGTTTCTCCTTAATTCCAGGTTGTTTCTCTCCTTGATTAGTTTCCATCCATTGTTTCTTTTCTTGCCTTCTGGTGCTTTGCAAATAAACTGACTCCACACACCCCTTTGTGGCAGTCTCTCAAATACTGTAATACTGTTGTCATGTCCCCCCTAGTCCTTTTCCTAGACTGGCCATGATTGTATGCAAGAAAAATAACAGTAAAAAGGTGTTGTGTGGCCATGTTATTCCTTTATAAAAGTTTTTGTTTTAAGAAAATAAATAAAAGAACTATTCTACTGAGAAAAAAAGGAGGTTACAGGTGAAAGATTATGTCTGGATTTCATGAAATTATATCTCTGAGGCAGGTTGAATGAAATGTATAGCAATAACAATAGCACTTGGACTTATATACCGCTCCATAGTGCTTTCAGCAGGGGTCCTCAACCTTGGCAACTTTAAGACTTGTGGACTTCAACTCCCAGAATTCCTCAGCTAGCTTTGCTGGCTGAGGAATTCTGGGAGTTGAAGTCCACAAATCTTAAAATTGCCAAAGTTGAGGACTCCTGCTTTACAGAACTCTCTGGTAGTTTACAAATGTCAGCGTATTGCCCCCAACAATCTGGGTCCTCATTTTACTGACCTTGGAAGGATGGAAGGCTGAATCAACCTATTCAAATATTGAAACAGCTCTTGGAGTTATTTCTGTTTTAATTTATTGTTTTATTGCCTTGAATAAAAAAAATATTTGATTCATATAAGCCTTACATTGAGTGAGACCAAGGACAAGGGCCCCCAATTTCCCACACATTTTTCCATATTTAATATGGAATGTTAAATCTTGAAAAACAGAAAAGCGGTGAAATAAAGTATGATATTAACTTTGTCTGAGATGATCACCTCTGTTAAAAAGTTTAAATTATGTTCTGATGATTTAAAATGAGCTCTATATAAGCGAGATTGCATCTCCTGATATTTTAAAAATATCTCAGGAAGAATTAGATAGGACCATAGCCACAGCATCCAGAACTGTTTTTCAACTATCTCTCCTGTATTTTCCCCCATCTTACCTCCCTATATTGAAAGCTAATTTTTACACTCCTAATAAGTTTGAAAAGTGACTTATTAAACATTTTTTAAAAGAAAACATGTAAATTATTTTGCCAATGATTTGAAAGTATTCTATAAATATATATTGTTTTGCTTTTACTGTAATCCGCCCCTCCAAATTTATCGTTAAGTGCCACAAAGTTGAAAAATCAAGGAAGTCCAGTTGCCTTTGGAAAAGGCATTTTTGGGACAACCATGACTTGGATGATTGAGAATGTCCATAGACATCACTGAGTTTCCTATAAATATTCAGAAACTTTGTTTCTGTTTAATTTTTATTGCTCTTTAATTAATAACAAAAAAGAAAAAAACGTATGTTTCTTTCCTTCTTTTTTCATTTTTATGTTATAGCGCTTTGTAAGTATTCTTTTTTCTTATCTTTGACAATATATGTATCAAACATTTTTATATTTTGGGAGTCCTGCTCAGAAATGTACTTCTGATTTATCTTGGCCTCTCCAACCAAAATAACATTGCACATACACTGAAGCTACTTACCTCAAAGATCAATCAGTGGTGATTTCTGAATAATATCTCATGCAATACATTCAACCAATTTGCATTAGGCTCCCTTATGGCTGGTTTAAAGTTAAAGTAAATAGCAGGTGGTTGGAGGTAAATAGTCTGCATCTTCTACACTGTATCTCTTAAACATAGGAACTTGATATCTGTTTTGTAAGCAGATAAAAATATAAATATTTAGTGGTATGTTTCCATAAATTAATAATTCACTTTTATTTCTGTTTTAACCTACTTCTGTATGTAGTCCAGGCATATATAATTAGTTTGAATAACCTGTACAAATCAGGCCTCCTGTAAGAGTGAATGGGGTATAATTTAAGCCAGGTGCATAATACAAGCCTCTAAAATGTTCACCTATACTACTATACAAAGGTGAAATTAGACCAAGACATGAATCAGGTTCAAGCACACACCTAGTTTTAAAAATTCTCTGGGTAATTTTGAGCCTGTCTCTCTCCTTCCCTGCCTGCCTCCCCCCCCCCCAACTACCTTACAAGGTTGTCATGAAAAACCTTGGAAGTGGGACTCCTATGCAGACCAGCAAGTTTCAGAAAGGTTGGGTATAAATAAAAACAATGAAAAACTTAAGGGTAGTCTGCAGATCTTCTCTAAAAGTTGTAAAATTTAATGCCGCAAGGTTGTTTCTAAAATGAAACATGATATATTTAACTAAGTACTATTGGGGAAAACATGGTCCCATTTTTTTAAAAAAAATTGCAACTTGGCACACCAACTCATGGGCCAGGTATGATCCTCAGCATGAGAAAAGTAAGATCATAGAAAATTACTGATCAATATATGTTACCTGTATCCTGATTATGGGTCACTACACTGCATTTCTTCCCTAGTCAATGAAATGTGGGCTATAGTATATTAACTTGCAAGGTCGTCTCTAGATTGCATAGCTTGTATATAATAGCATGAGCATCCTTGAGGCAAATCTGGGCTCTGGTTACACTTGTGTACTTCTAGCCAAAATGTGTCAAAACCTAATGGCACTGCTATTACATGTAAGGAATACTTAAAATGGCATGAGTAAAATTGGTCTCTATTTTGCAGGGGGACTTTGCGGGGGGAAGAGATTGTATTGCATGATCACAACTGCCATCTTGACTTTTTTTGATATTCCTTCCCTCACATATGTACCTTTTCCTGCCTGCAACTTTTTTTATAGGTAATTCTCTCATAGGAGGAAAGGCTAACCCAAGTGGAAAAGAAACTGTTTTGAACGGAAAAGTGGCCTTTTGAGAGGAAACAGAGACTTTCCCCCCCCATATTAATCTTCCACTTAAAGCATAGTGATGGT